CCGGCGGTTGTTGCATGTCACGGAGATGAATATGCTGCGCTGGATGTGTGGCGTTACGCGGAAAGACCGCGTTCGTAACTCACACATTCGTGGCAGTTTGCATGTCCGTGACATTGCCGACAAATTGCAGGAAAGTCGCCTACGCTGGTATGGCCATGTCTTACGACGACCGGAAAACTACGTGGGTCACAAATGCCTCAATATGACCGTACCTGGCGCCAGGAGTAGAGGAAGGCCCAAAAGACGGTGGCTTGATGTCGTGCAAGATGACATGCGTGCCAATGGACTCCACAAGAAGGATGCCGAAGACCGGGCTAAGTGGAGGAAACTGAGTGGGAAAGCGGACCCTGGGTTCTCCCGCCCTGGGCGGGACGAATAACCGGGACAACGCTAGGGTGATGATGATTATAGATACTTATACAAAATAAAATATCAATACACTTATTTACGGAGATAAAAAAAAAAATATGTCTGAACATACAATTTAGATATGAGAATACTAATCATGGGAAACGTCTTAACTGGTACCATTATAAAAAGCGAGGATAACCCGAACCAGATACACAAGTTAATAACCCTTAATATAACATTACAGTAATATCCAAACAGAAAGGCTGCACGTGGTTTAGACTATTTGCATGTACGTATGAAACGGCGCCAGCGTCGATGTTAGATAGCTACGTGACCCAGCGTACTTGACGACGCCGCAACATATGTCTCAAATTTAAACATCGTATTAGACATTACAAACGGTATATTAAGAACCTTCTTGTTTAAAAACCTCTATGGTCCGAAACTTAAGCGTCTATCAAAAAAAAATCCATTACATCTATAAAGAAATTGTCTCGTTAGATATGATTGTAAAAGTACATCATCAAATAGAATATGTATTTGTTAACTGAAATGTAATATACTTAGAAAATTTTCCACTTTGATTTTGTTATTATTAAGTTCTAAACCTTTATATAAAGTATAATTTAAACAGTATATGTAAACACTTATCCAGCTACCGACGTATTCCTCTTAGTACAAAAGGAAATAATAGTTGAGATGTTTTTAACGTGATGGTCATAGCAATGACATCGGAACGCCGCATACCGATTGAAGCTGCTATACGTACTTGGTGTTTTGTCACAGTGGGTATAAATAATGTTTTTTATTACACGTCACAGCTCTTAAAACAATATACTGTACTTCCACAGTTTAATATAAAAACTTGTTGTCAACTATATTTCTGAAATGCCATTGATACAGATGCATCGACAATTATCATGCAAGAAATATTCTTTATATAATTCTGAAATTAATATAGAACTTTAGTTGATATTCTTCTTGGTCGGAAAGTATCTGCTGATACTATTAAGTTATATAGTTTATTAGCACTATAAATTGAAGTGAACTTTATCTATCTGGTACACGAGTTAGGGCTGTATGAACAGTTAAGACCTCATTTGGGTTTTGATTGTATCTACACAAGCGATCGGTCAGTTTTGTTGCCAAGTAAAACGTAGCACGTAGCGTTTTCTAACACTGCGTCCTGCTTGCGTATGCGCAGCGGCCAAGCGCGCCCGTGGAATCACAATTGACACTCTCGGTAATAACTCGTGGAATGCCCACGGTTTGGAATCACCAAGTAGCTAGGACCTGGCCATTCTTTGTCGGAGAAATCCTTGGCTGCCAAGGCTGTATGTAACTATTTCTGGTAAACCATAATTCTAAAAATCTTATATAAGATAACGTCGTCTTTTTTTGATTCAAACCGAATCTACTCTAACTACATACATATGAAATAATTTTATCTCTATTTTCAAAATAATTTTTCTATAATAAATATATATCTATACTTAATTTCCACTTAAAGATATTAAGGATAGAAATGAGGTAAAAATATTAATGGTATTCATGAAAACACTCAGTCCGAGCCGTATTATTCAGATGCGATCGACGCGTCAATCAATGCTCACCTCAGCCTGAGATGTATTGCCTATAACAGTGGTTATTAATATAAAAATAAACTCTACATTATAAAGAATAAAGTTCATAACAGTTTAAATTATCTTAAAGTTTTCGGCGTGTATAGATCCATAATAATGAGGGCGACTGCCGAAGGAGACATCATGATGTATTTATTTAAATTTATTACAATTGCTAACAGATAAGCTACTGTTCACACCTCATAATGTCCACGTTATAAATGATAATAAATAAGAATAATTTAATATAAATCTCTTTAATACCCGGCGCTATCTCTTACATCCACATACGTAAATAAAATTCTATAAGGAATAAAGCTATAATATTGTTTATTTAAACAAAAAATTCAGTTTTTTTTGACATCAGTATTTAAAATTCCAGAATAACTTTGAACAATTTGCATAAACTCCTATATTTATATTAAAAGATCGTAATATTTTTTTATAAACTAAATAATTCATTAATTTACCTTCAACAATCGTATCTCCTCTGCTGATGTCTGGTAGTCCATATTGCGTACCACATTATAATACAATGCTAATCGACCAGGTGGCGAGAAAAATAAACGGAGCGAATTTACAAATATTTTTAACACAAAAATAGAGATAAAAGTCCCGTTATTTGTTTACAATATTGTAAAGAAAACGCCTAAAACATTATTTTAAATCAATGAAGCCATATTAGTATTAAAATATATTAGTTTTATAGGAAAGACATATCATTTAGAAGCGATAAAATCTTCTTTGTTATATATTATTTTGTTTGGGAAGACACGAAAAAAAATTAATATTGTGAGTTTTATAAAAGCTTTTGTTATAATATTTATACATTATATAGCACAATATTTTTATATTTTCAAACACATAAATTAATTATCATACAACCATAGATATACCTTCATATATATTTTTGTAAACTAAAGACACTGACTGCTATAAAGAAGTATACCTATAGCTATATAAAGATTAATATGTTAAGATGTGTATATTACTTTCATAATTCCAGTTGAATTTAATACATTCATTTAATATGTAACCTGTGATTTTTCACACATTCCATATACTGAATATGCATTAATATTATTAATCATTATATATATACAATCTCACAGTGTCTGTACCTGGTAGAACACGTCGCAGGAAATCGTCATGACGACGTGATTTCTGCTCTACACAAAACACATCTTGATTATTTAAATAAATTTCATATAATACAGAACAACCACTTTATATTGGTAAATTTTATATACATACGTGTGTATATATGTATATATAGCAGTTGATAAATTAGGTTTAAGTACGGTTCAATAAAATTTTGACAATTAAAAATTACCTAGTATTGTTTTATACTTCATTATATTAAAAATTCTATTTCATAAAATACATAATTTTATTCAAAATATGACAAGCAGAATGAAGGTATTAAAAACAATATTTTATCCCGAAAATGTCGACTTTAACTTGCTATGTACGTAATGGGTAATATGGACAATATATCCAATCCTTACGATAGGTAGGTATAGAGCGGAACTAAGAAGTTAGCTTCAATATTTCTCAAATAATATATATACTAATATAAAATTTCCATAACAGCTGTATCTTTATCTCAGTAATACAGATTTAACAAACATTAAGTACTATTAAAACACGTATTAGACAGTTTATTGGGAGGAAGCAACAAAAAACAAATAGTCACGAACATGTCCGCAGTCGGCGCACGTCTGACGGACATGTCCCGGTGAAGGTAGACTACATATCCGGTGATAAGGGTAGTATAATACACTACGACTGCGTGACGCCTATACTACCACCGTTCCCACAATACTACCAGAAATTAAGAGGTCTCTTAAACAGATCATGTACAAGAAACTGGGAAATAAAGTATATAGCTATAAGATCAATATCATGATGATAAGCATCTTTATATAATGCCAAATATGTATATATTACACAATAAAAATGTAGACGAAGTGTTCAGCAAAAAAATCCTAATATTTATTTTTATGTAGAATTTCATTTTTTAATAATGAAATCACAAATTCAACATCTCAATACGATAAAAGTCGTATTCTTATAGCTATATAAAAATATTACTGATTAAGTTTTTCCATTAGCATGAATTATTTATATACCACTAATAACGTATACATATATGTAACTACATAACTACATAAAAATGTAAGTACCAAAGTTTTTCGATTTGCATAAACTATTTATATACATCGGATAATACATATAATAAGGATAGGATTATAAGGATGCTAAAGATTTGTATCTCGTAATCAAAATATACCAAAATCTTTTTAAATAAATGAAATATAAATAACTAACCAAGGTGAGAAAATCAAACAGTTGTCATAATTTAAATAAATCTAAACAAGATTTATGAATATTATAATTAATAATTTTTTGGTAATAAAACCATTTACTTATGAGTTACTCTACAATTTATTGAATTTCAATTCACATGAATTGTTCAATTTGTGATTTTATATTTTTAAAATGAAATTCTACATAAAAATACCTAAATATTAGATTTTTTTTGCTGAACTCTTGGTCTACTATTTCATTGTGTAATATATATTTGGCATTATATTAAGATGCTTATCATCATGATATTGATGTGATATTATCTATATAAATCACTAAAAATATCTGAATTTATAAAAAAAATAAATCAATAAAATACATATATGGTTTTAATAACATTTAAAATTAACATATAATATACAATAGTTTGCTTTATAAAAGAAACAAAAAACTTTACGAAGAAGCAATAAAAGCCGAACTAAGCCATTGTTTTTTAATGACCACATTAGTCCTTAGACCCGCAAAGTACCTTAATAATGTGTACAATTCACAACAATACGGGCAGTATTGATTTGGCTACAAGATTCCCATATAAATTGCCTACTATACAAACACAACTGACACTTGATTGGTACATCTATTTGCATAGTTCTTATTAAAACAACACCTAGCTTCTGTTGACCATCACTAATTAGACAATTTGCCTATATCTTGCAGATGCTTAATCCGTCGGCGAATTTCTGTAAAGATGTATGTGCTGAACTCATTCATCAAAGTGAAATGGACCATGGATGGAGAAGAGAAGGTTCATTCTGGATTGCAGTGTTTACAGTTTAGACTAAGTTAAGTAAGACGTCGGTGGTGTAGCTGATTTCCATTGTAATGTATGCTAAACGGTAGTGACCGAGACAATTAGGCTGTGATGTGCGGGCCACGGTCGCGGTCGTGTACAACACTGTCACGCAGAATTGCCATCAGCATTAATCCCAGAATTAATCCCTTATACGATCACGACCACATGTATTATGTCGCAGATGCGATTAGAAGCCCCTTTGAATATTAAAACAGAAAAATGCTTCAGTTAAGGTCTTGCATGTGGGTGTAAAGGAATAGCCGAAGATTAAGTTATTTCAGAACGGAATATTCAAGCCACGTTATTAATAAGGCGAGGTCACCTCGTGATCGGCTTCCTCTCCTACGCCCCGCCACGAACAAAATAGTCGAAAAAGGTAAGCGGTCGTGACGGGAATGTCGCTGATGTTATGTATTTCAGGTCGCACTCATTGTATTTTAAACCGCCATTGTTTCGTATTTCGCGCCTCGCAGAATGCGCTTTCGACTCCTGAGATAATATTTTCGTGTCTGTCAGTATAAAGTTTGGGTAGTCCTCGATTAGAGTTAGAATCTTAATGAGCTTGATTGATGCGCGAGCGTGCCTCGAAGGCGGGGAGGTGTCGCGTGGTCGCTGCCTGTCCCACGGCCCGGGATTGATTAACGGTGCGGTTCGCGCTAACTCGACGTGAGAATGTCCTACGAGCTAATATGCGCGTCCGCTGACATTCGGGCCATGTCGCCCCTGCGTGACAAAATTGCAACCATCCCGTGCGAATAATATGGCGCCCTCAAATATGTCGACACTTATAGTATACGAAAAATATATAAATGTATAGAATATCATTGCTAACTTCGTCATTTCTGTGTAAAGACAACCGAATATTTCGTTTTAAATCCAGCAAACGGTTTTTATATACATAAGCTTGGTTTAACGAAGTGAGTACCTCGGGATGCGCGTGCGATGCCGCGATAGCACTCGCCTGGGAACAGTCTCAGGAAATCTTCTGGCGGCTTTATTTATCCTTTGTAATATTTCTATATATTTATAGACATAAGCGTATTCGAAATAATAATAACCATTCCATACCCTACTGTATCAATAATAAGGTTTAGACACATTTTATAAACATGTAAATATTTTTTATAAGAAAAGAATAAATAGGTCTCTAAGTAAAGAATGAACTGACCGCTTTTAAACTAATTTCGTTGTATATAAGAAAATCAAATGCCCTCGTAATTAATTTTATTACTTTGTATGTGTGCTGCTTCATATTGACTATTTAATTATGAGATATAAATTTTCCATTCAGCTAACGTATCAACAGCTTCAATTACAATCATTCTACGAGATCCATTATTCTAGTCTAATCTTATTAACTTAACACTCGGCCTGCGTCTCCAACGTCCAAAATAAGGAACTGTGAAAGCTAAACATTTGTATAGCGACAGGATTCATTGTATACTGGTGGCTCGATCAGAAAGACGGCTATCTGAAGAGGGATCTTGAATATGACGTTATGAATAATTTGCGCCTGCGCACGTACGTGGGTAAGACCAGTGAACGCTAATCAAATAAGAGACTTACAGATTCTATATATCTTTCTAAATATGTTATTAAAACGGAATTGAATACCTTTCTAATTACTCTCTAAAGAGACAAACTTGGTTATACGAGGCTGTCAAACTATTTTAGACTTTTTAATAAATAGCTACCTACGCTATAAACATCATATTCCTTTGTAACATATCCGTCAATATAGTTAATATGTTGCATGAAAAGCAAAGTTCCTTAGCGTAATTTTAGAGATGCCGTCATGCCATACATCCCTATGTTTGCGGACAGGCTTTTATCTCAGCACGTGGTTGACATTGCAGGAACACTGCGGACATTTTTAATTCCTGAACCGAATTCAATGATTCATAGACGTTGGCTGCTCACAACTTGTAATCTTATTGTTTTCACATTTATTTTTTTTCATCTGAGCGTAAATATGTAGTTTAATAATATTATTTTACAAGACAAATTAGGAGGTTAAATAAAGAATCGTCTATAAACTTTTTAACTATTTTTTTATATATATATTTAAATTATAAGTTACTGAAGACTTAGAAAAAATAGTTTTAAATTTTAAAGAAAAAAATTATCCAAAAAATTAAGTTCGTACCATAAAACAAATATACATAAATAATAATAATAATAAAATAAAAAAATTCAATAGTTGAGTTTAAGTAAATGTTCATCCATTGCCAAAATGGTAAATATTTCTTAAGAACGTAATAAAAAACAACGGTATATTTTAAACGTGTCTCGTAAATGCCTTTGAGTAAAAATTTGCGACAAGGTTTAGTTTTAGTCATGAGCTCAGTTTAATATCATATACCTGTTTACGTATAGCAAAAAGGAACAAATATCAAAGCAATGGCTGATGATGACTTTTAAAATTAATAAACAGAAGTCGAAGAAGTCGTTTAGACTCACTTTATTCAAGTTGAGGGACAGCTATTCAATTTTTTGCTACTGTAACATTGTTTACGAAATGCAAACAATACCCTTATAAAATTCCTGATCGCGTCTTATTTAAATTGTGATACAGTGGAAGGCACGAATAAGTAAAAAAGATCAGACGTTACCAAATCCCTCAAAAACAGAAACGGGCCGTCATTTAAGGATACGGCAGACGAATAGCATCAATACATTGATGGAACGTTTTGGACGTATAAAATACAAAGTCATTGTCTTTTTTGCGCGTTTGGTTTTGAGCGCGTTGCGAGAGCGGAATAACAAGAACTTAAGCAGTGGAATGCGTCGTCGAGGCGCACATACATCGTTGACGCACCATGACCGTCAGTGGCTACCCTCTCGCCACCAATTTAACTATAAAAACATACTACGTATTTCGCAGAACCTCCGGACGGACATTTGAACGTATTGGAATACGAGTGTATTAAAATTTGATTATAATCGACTTGATCGCAAGAGAGGACCAGTTATCGAACTTTATTACAGTTTTTTTTCTTCCAACTTACTATTATAAAAAATGATGATATAATAATAGTATTTGGGTGTTAATTTATTAAAAGGTTGTTCTGGAGAGTTTTGTATTAAAAAATCAACACTAGGTAATTTTTGTGTTCTATAAAAAAAATATATTACTTTAGATATGACGTCTCTTAAGTTCGTGTATTGCATTTGTTTTTTTCAATATAACAAAATGCATTTTTGGGCATCTATTTTTTTTTCGATAACACTTTACCATTTAAGACCAAACCATTGTCAGGGATACATGGATATCCTATATAATTTACTTTATTTTTATTTATTAATTTAATTTATGTTGCTTTTGCAAAAGACCCCAAAACTAATTACATGAAAAGTATTGTCTATCATATTAAAGTTAGATGATCTATGATACTAAGTATTTTTTAGAAACAATAGGTGTATTAATATTATTCAAATAATTTTATAAAGAAAAAAAAATATTAAGTTAAAAAAAGTTTTATTTCATACTAATAAATAAAATATTCATATTCATTCAAATGATTCTTAATTTCAATTGCTCTTGGTTTTAGGTCAACCCCTGTTACAAAACTTTATATTTTGGTGCAAAAAGTTTTTTTCCCAGTATGGTACCAACGCCTTAAATAAACCTGGAACCATTTGTAATTATAGTCAAGTGTAAGACTTATATATCACGAAATGCCAAAAATACCATCATGGAAACTTTTAATTTCAAGTTCAATAAATCCGACCTTTTTTAGGTACCTGAATACAATCGGTTTCCAATCCATATGAGAAAGAACTACGCTTCTTCTACAAGTAACGTTAGCCTTATTGATTTGGAAGAAAGTTGGCTATGGGCTTGTAGAAACATTTACCTTTTAAGTAGAAATTTAATGTTTTGCTACTATCTCACTTGTTAGTAAGTGAATATGTATGAATGGTAAACATCATATCTCTGTAAAAGCCTACTTAACTTACCTTGAATACTTCTAAATTGTAAGTGCAAGTGAACACTGACGAAGGAAAAATTGAAAAGCATAGTGATGTACAAAACCATTTTATGATGCTTTTAAAATATTTTTATAAATTTTATTAATTATAAATATATGATTACATCTATTTATAATTCTGTTTATAATTATCATATAAATTGCAAAAAGGTAATCACTTACTCACGATAAGCAATAGTTTTATGAAACAAAACTTTTTACTGATAAATTACAAGGCTACAGAATTGGGTTTTTGAATTATTTTTTTTTTTGTGATAAATGGAAAGATTATATATAAGTTTAATAACAAAACTATTTTTATTTTATTTTTTTTTGCAATATTTAAAAAGTTATTTCAAAATAAAAATTAAATTTTAAATTCAGTACCGAAGACAAGCCGACAGCTCGTGAATAAACCCGAGCGCGTGTGACGTCACAATGTTAGTTTTTGCTCATTGTAGCATACAGAGATATAATAATTAGTACAGTGTTTTGAGTTTTTATCTAGTAAATTCTGTTGGCATTGTTAAATAATCAAAAGTTTTGTACCATTATGTACAAAGACTACAAAAACAACTCCTGAAAAAATGTTTTTAAATGTTCCACAAGACGAAAAACGTCGAAAGAAATGGTTTCAAGCAGTGCATCGAGATTATTCAAAAACAAAATCATTTTTTTTTTTGTTGTGAAGATCATTTCGTTGTAAGTTTTCATAATAGTATTGTTATTAATTATTATTTATCTAAGTGTATAAATCGAATAAGTATAGTTCAATAATTAATTTTTTTACCTGGGCTCCAAATCATAACCTTTAGAATCGTAGCATTAAAAAATTTTAATTGATAATTCAAAGCGATTAAATAGTAAATCTATATATATGTTTGTCTAATAATTGGACTTCAATTAATAGATATTTTCATAATTTTATAACATTCTAGGTTCTGTATCAGACTACATTTAAATTTTTAAAGTACATATATGTTATTTTGGTTTTTTTATAATGTTATAATAACATTTTATTAATAATGATTTAATGAAATAATTATTAATTATATTTAATAGAGAATAAATACTAATTTTCATTTAGAATAGTATTTTTTGACAGACTTACCTTGATGTCTTAGCACCTCGAACTTCAGCAAAATTAAACCGCACTTTTTAAAAAATTAGTTATCATAAAAATATATTAACATCAGGAATATTATCCGATTTTGCTTTTATAAATCCTTTATCACACATAGTCGAAATAAACTTTTCAAATCGTTTTTCACTAATAAATTTGAGATATTTTTATCAAGTTAAAGATAATAGCCATAAACACTGTACTATTATGAAATTGCTTTAACATTATGACGTCACAAGTATGCTGACCAATCATGGCGCGTTTACAGTCACGTGATATATTTTTGAATTTTATCAATTTTTAATTGTTTATAATTAATTTAAAAAATATATTTCAAGTTTTTTGCATTAAAAATCCAATATAATTAATAATAAAGTTTTAAAATACATTAAAAAAATCAATACTTTTTTTTTTTTCAAAAACCCAATTGTTGTTATAAATTGAATTTTGTGTCAGTTTTATATATTATTTTTAAAGCCATATATAAAAAATGTGAATATTTCGTGTCACGAAATTTAATTATTTATTTTAAAATTTAATTTTATATATAAAATGTATTGCCTGAACATTAAGTTTGTCGATGCTTAAAATGCTATGGAAAAAAATGACAGTTATTGCAAAACTCTTTATAGTGTATTCTATAAAATATTGAGAGGCTTGCTACTTCATTTCTATGATCAGAGCTGACCAGGTAGGTTTTTACCAAATTATGGTCAGCGATAACGCTTTTTTACGTCTCTTTACGGAGTCTAAAGCTAAGAGATGACTTTTGCAGCACCTGCCTAAATGTAACAGATATTATAGACACTAAATCCGATCTTTGTTCTGTAAATGCAGAGCAGCTATTATGAAATAAACTATATATTTGTCTCTTTTCTATCTGTCTTGGACTCAATGAAGTACCCAAAAATAAGGTTCAATTTATTTATTTTTCTTTTTAATTAAATATATGTATGTACTTTTGAAAGAAAATATATCACTTAAATTAACAGAAATAAATATAATCTGTACTTATATCACATTAAATAATATATATTAATTTAATATATAAATAAATTTAATATCTTATACTCCACAATAAAGTTGAACCTCGTTGTTTTTATTTTTGCTGTTAACTAATTCCGTGAATTATCATGTTTTGTTGTGTGTAAATGAATTGTAGAACAAATTCTAAGTAATACTGACGTGGCTTTTACATAATAGGCTATGGAATTTTTATCTGTTTTATGATACTGAATAATTTAAAAATATTTACTATTATCTGCCGAATAGAACACATTTTTCTTTTTGCAAAAATATAGATTTACATATATGTTAATATTTAAAGGAAGTCAATTAATTTGGTAGTATTTTAAGTATGTATTTACAAATGAAAGTCTACTCTGATGTCTCTGTAATGAGGAAGTGGATGGAGTAATAAGAAACTAATGGATTACAAACTCAATCCTACCAAAT